TGGCTGCTGTGAAAAAGGTCTATCAGCATTCAGTGGATGAATACGTAAGAGCCATGAGCCACACCTGCTGATGAATTTCAGAGACAGTAGTCAAATTTTTGTCTAAATGTAGAGCTTGTTTTAAATACATTTCCAGAAAATCTGCCATAGGAAATGCAAATGAAGGTGTGTTTTTATCCACTAATATTAGGAGTTGGGCCCATTGAGATAAACATTTGGTGGTGCTAATTCTCCAGTTGAGTGCCATTAAACCAGTGCAGAAGAAGAAGGCACCACGAGTTGATGTAATTAAAGGAGCCGGAGTCAAACCTTAAACAATGGAGAACCATCTGCAATTTGTGATGGAAATGTGATATTTATGTGTTTCGGGAATTAATCTGATGTTTTTGTAGAAGCTAGCATTTGGTTTGTCTGTTTCACTACTGTAGAAACATGGTAGTTCAAGAGGACCCGCTCCCTCTTTAGATACAAACAGCTCATTCTAAGGTAACAGAATGATTCTTTCACTAATGAGAACATACCTGAGAATATTAAATTGTATTTCTGCCAACATATCCTTCTTATATACACTGGACATATAAGTCACATGCTTCCTGTACGTAATCATTTATTTGCTACGTCTGTTTCCATTGCATTTTAGCACATTCGATTTTTATTTATACACAACTTGTCACAACTTTTCCACCTCTGCCAAGCGTAAAAAAATATATATGTAGGCCTATATACTACATATTATATGTAATTATTTTTTATTTCCAAAACAAGTGGATGCAAGTACACTTTACTGTATTCCTCGTTACAGTCTTTGGTTTGGTTTTGCCTATTTTGAAGCATTTCTGTGGAATCTACAAATGAATTATTTTATATGGAAAAACTATTCTTGGCAGCAAGTTTTTTCAACCCATTAGCCTTCAGAAAGAGAGCCAACGAGCTTGAAATTCAGACTGTGTAGAATCTCCAACTTCCGGTTTTATTATAGACATACATGGTCAAAGTGGAAGCATTTGTGAGTCATTGCTAGGGCTAAACTGGACAGTGTTTTTCTCTCAGACCTAGTCCGTCATCTGCTTGTCATGGGCGAGAGTTCATGCACCATGTTGCTAGTGGAAAGGCTACCATCAAAGATTCATACCACTGACCCCTTTGAAGTTGTCCCTGAACCAAACATTGTTGCACACATTACTGAGCAGAACAGTCACTTCCCATGGCAACAGAAAACAGAGAAAGAGAGAGACAGAGGGAGGAAGACAGAGACACAGCGAGAAGAGGAAAATACCCATTTAAAGCCATTTAAGCCTTTCAATATTCATGACAGAAGAGACTGTGGTGGTTCCCATAAAGTTTGGGACATTAAACCTCCAAAGAGGCACTGAGGTGGGTGTCATCCCCACTAGACTCAGACCTCAGGGCCCCCCTATGCATCCTGGATGGAAAACACTCAGGATTCAGGCTGAACTGAAGTTGAGTGTAGCTTCTATGTTGTCTTGGCAACCTGTCTGACAAGAAAGAAAGTAAGAAAGAAAGAAAAGAGGAGAGGAGAGGAGAGGAGAAGAGAGGAGAGGAGAGGAGCTGGGTGTGAATGGATGAGCTCCCCATGTGTGGCGCCAGGCAGTCTACCCGGCGGGGCAGCTCAATAGGCGGCTGTGAGGGAGGGAGCGGAGCGGCGACGCGTCCCCGAGAGCGGAGGAATGCAGGAGGCACAATAACACACAGCTGGAGTAAGGAATGGCAAGGAGGCGCTGCCAAATCGGCCTGTCCCGGCTCCCCTAGAGCTGCAGTCAGGGTTGGGAAAAAGAAAATGTTTGTTATATGAAGTCATAATAACAATTTATTCAATCAGAGATGATGATGGGAATTATACGTCCTCGAGACCCCGGTTTCTCTTATGAAGTGGTAATAAATCTGATAAAAACAAGTGTCAGAGCAAAATTACAATTCACCGAAGGAATGCTGCATAAATAACGTTGTAATTATAGACTGCAATAAGGTCAAAGTTAATAGTTTAACACGTGCTGAAAGTCCTAAAATGAATTGGAATATTATTACATGTACATTTTATAATGAATTATTTGGACTGCTGTCACGATGTGTTTTCAGTTTGGTTTCCCCTGTGAGGTGAGACAGGTTTCTCCATTAAAGCAGGTGGTTCGGCTCGGGATCATCTGTCACAGCCAGGGGTGATCAATACAAGTGAGCCTGTGCGTAATTACGCATCAATGACTACGGAACTAAAGATGCAATCCGACGGTAATCAGCCAGCTGAATTGTGCAAATGCATCAATCAGGAAATCTTCAAACTAGTCCTCTTGTTCGGCTGCTCGTAAAGATACTTGAGACTTTTTTCTTTGTATGGCGATGCTAATGCACAATTGACTGCTTTAAATGGCCTCTCTCTTTTCCTTTCTCCCCTCTCTCTCTCTCTCACACACACACACACACACATACAAACACCTCTCCTACCAACAGGCAGCCCACCGCAGCGCACACAGAATGAGACACGCCTTTTTCTCGGCTCCGTTGTGGGGTCGGTGGGCAGCGGGCTGCCGGTGATTGACCAGCCTCTCTCCCTGATCTGTCAGCCGGCTGGCTTGGCGCCTCCCCTCTCCTCTATAAATGTAGGAAATCTATTCATTCCTTTCACACCGAGCCTGCTGAAGTAAGAGGAACTGTGAGGCTCCACGGGATGTGTTGACAGACTAGAATTCCGCCTTTTGCTTTATCTTATTCTCTCGCTAATTTGCGGCTGTATTAGAGTAGCTTTCGCCGTGTTTACAGCGCATAATCTCAAATACCTCCTGCTACCAGTAGTGTAATTATTTGTTTGTTTTTTCGCTGCCTCTCTCTGAGCCGTTGGTTATCTAAGATGAAGGCTGTTACTCCAGTCCACCCCCAGGACTCCTCCTCCAGCGGCAGCGAGCTCTCCCTGCACTATCTGTCGAAGCAGAGCCTCAACATCGCCCGGTGCAGGATGGAAGAGGAGGACCTGTTCTGCCTGCAGTACGACATGAACGACTGCTACAGCCGGCTGAAGCGCCTGGTGCCCACCATTCCGCAGGATAAGAAAGTCAGCAAAGTGGAGATCCTCCAGCATGTGATAGACTACATCCTGGACCTGCAGCTGGCCCTGGAGACGCACCCTTCTCTCCATAAACAACAGCCACAACAGACCGGGACCTGCCCTCCTCCTCCAGCCTCCAACCCCAGCCGGACACCGCTGACCGTGCTCAACATAGACCACCACCAGGTAAGCTTTATAACAGCGGAGGCGGCTCTCCATTCCTCGTTTCCAGCGGGACTTACCGGGGACCCCGATTTACTGTACCTCCCCGTGCCAGACTGCCGTCCGCCACTCAGACTCAGACAAAGCGCGTCATGCCCGTTATGTGTCATTGTCCTTCCAATGTTAGGAGAAAAAGACAGAAAATACTCAAAATGCTACACAGCTCACTGCACAGCCTTGAAAAATCATGCGCAAAAAACGCATTCGGCGTGGGTTAGATTGCGCACTTGATTGCGGGCTTTATGATTTGCATGATAATGACAGTGTGTGTCAGAGGCCCACCTTATCCCAGGATTGGTGAAGTACCTTCAGCCTGCAGCCCACTCCACTGCGCACAATAAGGGCAATTTGTTATTCAATAGGCTATAAGAGAATTTATTATGGGAGATATAGCCGGCTGATTTTCTGCTGCTCTGCTGTATATCATTTATTTTGCAGGGCTTTAGGCCTTGCCTTTATTTAGTCTTATACATGGGAGATAACCCGTTTTACATGTTTCCTTTTTCTGCTTTTTTTTTGTAGAGGACATCAATAGTCAAAAAGCCGGAGGACTCTATTTTATGCCGCTGAGATAAAAGCACTGCATTGGTAAGTTGGCCTAAAGTAACATTTTAAATGTGTTTTTATAATTTATTTTTTATTTACAATCATAAGTTTTCTTGCTGTTTTTGTGTGTGTGGCCAGTAGAAAACACCATAAGTGGTGGTCACTGAGGCATCCCCATCAACTTTATTATTGTAGCCTATATGTGGTGTAAATTGACAATCTCTAGAGTGCTTTGGGGAGGCCAGTAGATGTCAGGGAAAATAATAATTGAGAAACCTTAAATTGGCACCAACCTCAGAGGCAGCTGTGCTTTGCGCAATAACTGTCACTGGTGTAGCAATCTGTGAAGAAGAGAGGGTTAAAACCTCAGCTTGCCCTCTCTTTCATTCTTACACACACACTCCTTCCTCCCTCTCTCACTCTCTCTCATTCACTCTCTGTCTGTCCCTCACAGTCCCATTCAAGCTGCAGTTCTGGCTGTAAAGTTAGTTTTATAGCACTGAATCTAAACACACCTGGGTAAGGCCAAAAGCATGTACGCGGTGTGTGTTACAGTGAGACACTCTTGCAGTCTTTCCGAGAGCCTTTCGGCAGCCTTGCCCAACAGCCTGAGGAGCTGTGTGGTTGTTGTTTGACCTGGTTTGTTTTGGGTTGTTGATCAAGCATGGCCTCTGTTTTGTCGGTGGCGCCAGTCAGTCTGGAGCTCTGTAGCTCACCCCCCCGCTGCTATTCATCCCCTCCACAGGTGTGCAGGCTACACAGAGCCGCTCCAAAGCCAGCAAAGCTTCGCCAGGGACTCACACCCAACTGGAGGCACAATCACAAGGGGATTTCAAAACCGCTGGGAGGAATTCAACCCAAATAAAATCACTATTCATATCAGCTTTTTCTTTTTTTTTTGGTTCCATTGAACAAGGAATCAGTATGTAGACATCTCCCTCTCCTTCCTCCTGTTTAAGTTGCTCTAACTTTACTTCTTGTCACTTGAAATTTCTTTCTAAAAGAGTGAAAACGTGGAATCCCCACGCTGAGAAGTTTTTTGTTGGAAACCCGTCTGTCAACAGCTATGAAAACTGTTTGTGAATTGTGCTTAAAGAATAACTAAAAATGACTCCAGTTTAAAGCTTTACTAAACTGCGAAAAATCATTGTACATGTTTTGGACATCTATTGTTTAAAATAGATGATTTGTGTTGAACAGGGATGTCATCCCTGGAATCTTAAAATGTTTGATATTGTAAAAAAGAACAATTCTGATTCGAGACGATTAAGATTGTACATATAGAGACACAAATGTTCTATAAAAGTATGTGAAAGGAAGACTTATATGCTTAAAATAGACTATTGTAATTATAAGATATTTTTATTAAAATCTTTTTTTGTCGTTATGTAAATATTGTGTTTCCACTTTTAAGTCTTTTAGTAAATGAACGTGGTTATGCTCTGCCAATAATGTCCTCACATGATGATATCAGTTAACTCTTTGCAGTGTTTTTGGAATAGTTTAATATGTAGCATGTCAGGCTCATTGCAGAGGTTTTGAATGTGCACTGAAGCAGCCCTCCCTGTGTAGATATGTGGTGGAGTTCAACACGAGTTCTTCTATTATTTGCCCTGCTTAGCTTTTTCTTGAATTGTTTTGTACTCATTAACTATGACAACTTTGACCCGCTTGGAGCGAAGGGTTGGTCTGCTGTTTGATCTTTTAAAAAAAAGGCCTGATTTGACTCTGTTACATTGCACTCTTGTAAAAAAAAAAAATAAATAATAACCTGAGAGTTACAGCACTTCTGAGTGTTTACAATGTAATCCCTTTTTAAAAATCACTGCAAAACAATGTCCCTGTTATATGTGTGCAGTCAGAGGTTCTCCTTGAGAGGTTAATGATTGACACCATGAAATCATTAAACTTTGGTTATGAATTAATGAAATATGTGAACATTAACAGACACCTTTTGGACAACAACAAATTGTATTCAGACAGGCAATGTCTTTAAGTAAATATTCAATGATTTCCCTGTTGGAGAGTCAGCAGCCATTGTTAATGTAAAGAGAAAAGAAAAGCCTTTATTTTTCATGACATTGAACACCGAATTTACCTCACCACCCTCCTGCCAGTGTGAGAGGGCATTTGTACATTACTGTCAGCTGCACTGTTGGACTTGACCTTCACTGGCTTGTGAGGAGTTGTCAAAACAATTAAAGTTTCCAGGAAGAATTGTGTCGTCTCAAGTTTTGTCTCAAGGGGCATCTTCACCGTTTTGGTGCCAACGCTGCCACGTGAAATAACGAAGGAAAAGAGGGAGGCGCGGGGTTAAAGGCTCCTGAACTAAACATAAAGCAGTGTGTGAGTTCCATGGAAAATAAAAGGGTGAATAAAGATATTAAACTATTGCAGATGTCATCTAAGACCTTAAACCTGTTTTACAGGATTTAGGCATAAAAGCTTTTTGTTTTGTGGGCTTTTATTAATTCCTTCACACACATGGCCACAGCTTTAGCAGGACTGAACAAACACAAGTGACAGCCGAGAGGTCAGGTTCATATTAAACTATGAAACAGGTGTCATTTATCTTAAATGCTAGAGGCAATCTTCTTGTAAATGCAAATGATGTCTTTATGTGCACATTCAAATAGATTTCTCATTGCAATGTATCTCCTTAAACGAAACACATGCATGTCATTTGTGAAAAGTCATTACATTAATATAGTTGTTTTAAATAAAAATGAAAAAATAAATGAAAAGGATAATGCAAAAATTAAAAGGGACCATTTGTAGGGTTATTTTCACTGAGCAGAGAGATCACTACCTTTATTCATTTCATGGACACTGTAGAGCTCAGATAGGCCACTGTAGAAAGCACAATGTCAGCAGCATAAGCCACATATGGAATTACATTTCTGTGGATAAATGAAAAAAGCAGAATAAAGACACAAATGGAAATTTTGCAGCACTTTGGGAAACCATAAATTTATATTTTTTACTTTAGGTTTTTGTAATTTGGCTGATCCTTTCACCCAGAATGACCTATGATGAGTAAAGATAAACAGCAAACACCACTTCCTAGATTACCAGCACTGCCAGTAAGCAGAGCTCACAGATGAAAATTTCTCAATTCCCTTACAAAGATATCGAAAAATATATCCGGTTAGGAAGTATGATGTTAAAAATTGCTGGGGCAAATAATTCCAAAATCCTTTTCACACTTCAAACTTGAAGTGTTTCTGCTCAAGGCCTTGTCACGTTTATGGGAGCATTCAAGTAGAAAGAGCTGGATATCTTAAATGTTTCAAATATTTTTAAGAAAGAGATTTATTCATTTTAGATAGATTTATAACATTGATGATTTATGATGCACTTCAAGTATCTAGACAGCTAAATATATCTTAAATGCAAAATTCCAACTTCATTCAGCCCCTATTCCTTTTCAAATATATTCCTGATTTAAAAAATGCAAAGTATTCTGAAATAATTATGAAATGTATCCTAATAACATCCACCTAGACAGCTGTCAGAAATATTAGTTATAGTGAGGATCCTTCCTTTCTTCCTTCTTTCCCACGGAGCTGCAGCTATTTCTCCTAGACACACACTGACCCTTGTTTAGCTGTCCCCATGTCAACCTGCTGAATGCAGGTTAAAGCGCCCGTTTGACACCGACAAGCCCGACGGCAGAGATGCCATGCGGGTGCTACAGACACCTTTCAGACACCCTGCTCCTCGGTGGCCATCTGAGGGTAAGCAGTGGCATGCAGGCCACCTGTGTGTGTTTATAGTCCACAGTAAGAGAGCCGGGCCTCGCTGCCCTTGACAAGTGATGTCCTTGTGATGTGAAATGCGTGTGAGTGATAAAAGGTAAAAAAAATAGAAAAATAGAAAATGAAAAAAAAAAAAATTGTTAAAGCACAGGTGGTCAGCTTGACAGTTAGACCTTCCTGATATGATTAAAGATATTCTGGTTCTCAGAGAGAGCACAACATGAGCCTGACAGTTCAAACAGGGCTTCAGCAGCCATGACTGCACAGTTGGTGAGAGCATCTCCAATGCATTTTCTCCAGGAAATGCTGCTTTTTATAGATAAATTCAGGGATGTGGTGGAGATAAACCCAGTTGACCCTTTAACTCAGTTAACCCTGCTGACCATTCATCTCATTATATAGTAGTTTACCCACTTTTGTTCCAGAAACCCTTTTAATTTATCGCATATCAATCAAAAGTATCAGAATTAAACTGATGTAGTGACACTTGATAAGCCACCATGTGAAGATTTATTTGCCACATGCATTTCTGGGCTACACTTTTAAATGTAATATAATCTGGTTTTAGTGATTCACTTAAAAACGTATACAGCTACTGTAGGAAAATGGGACATCTGATTTTTCTCCCATCTCATGATCATTTTAGTCACATGCTCAAAGTGTTAGCTGTTGTCCTGCTGCAATTTCACAGTGCGTTTACAGAAAATGTATTTTAACATATACAAAGAAAATGCATTTATCTATACAGCATTTTCAGGCAAAGACATATGGCATCAATCCAACAGCCAATCAGCCACTAATTTTACCCTATTATCTGATGTTCCATAAAGGCAAGCTGCAGTGTAATACAGCATGGACAGAGGACAGGAGACGTCTATTACAGTCCATGATCTGTAGACCTAATTCTCTCTATTAGTCAGCACCCAAACTGCTGCCATCCCCAGATACATTATTCATCTGCGCTCCTATTATACTTTGCTGCAGCCATATGTTGACTCACAATCCCCACTGTCTCGCTATTAGCTACCACAGTGGTGCCCCATCCTGCCTCTCTCCAGCGTTTAGCACCGCAGGATTTTGCAAATAATCCCTGTTGGGAGCGAGATGGCAGTGAAAGCGTGTGTGGGACTGACTTCGCCGGCTCTCTCTGTCCTTTTACACTTTCCACAAACCGGACAAAAGGTTCAGGTTGAATGCCTACCTGGGGCCTTCCTCTGTCTGCTCCAGATCGTGGGAAAGCATCACATCCTGTTTGATAAGGAGGCCCCAGAGCACATTGGTCAACCTATTTTCCACCCTTGAGCTGAGGCCGAGGGAGTGGACGCGCCGGCCCTGTGACCAGTCACCCGGAAATGTCATTATGAACACAGTATCATTATTATCAAAACAAGGGACTGGCCAGGCTGCAAGTGGAGCCAGTTGTTTGCACAGGTGTTGGGTTGTGTGTGTGTGTGTGTGTGTGAGAGAGAGAGAGACTGTGTGTTCATGCATGGCTCTCATTTGTGTGCATGCATTGGTGTGTTTTGCCTATGTCTTAAAAATGCCTTTCCTGCAGAAGATTGCAATATAACAGAAAAATTACAAGAGGGATTTTGCAATTTGGTGGACTTACTACTTCTGATTAAATCTGGCTGGCTCATTATGCACCCCTCTTTCATCCTCCTCTTCCAGGTAAAGCTACCATTGCTGATTGAATCCAAGAAAAAGAAACTTCAAAATGGTCTTTCTAGTGCAGTTCCATACAGAAGAAACGCACCAGCTCCTAATTCCACAAATTTGCACAACGCACTGTGACACAAACACATAAAACGAGGATGCTCGCCATCGTCTCTGCCTTGAATTAACCTTCTGCATATGTTAAACTGCAATAACAGGTTTGGCTGTCGTGTCTCGCCTCCCTCTCTCCCTGATTTAACTCCACATTACGGCATTCCACGGGGGCCTATATCCCTGCGTGTTAATCACTGCTCTTCCCGGCGCACAGAGAAATATATGGCGGGTGCTTGCAGAGGAACAGTGGAGGACAAAAACGTGCTCGCTCTTGGACACTACTTGATTACAGACTAATTGGTCTAGAGTGATTAAATATCTCATGCTTCTCACTAATTGCAGCTATTTAAAGCAGCTATTAGCTTAAAATGCCTGCCACCAACAGCCGTTTACTCATAAACAAAATGTGAGATGCAGCAATTCACCTGTACTGCTCAGACTGGAAAACAAGAGTTACAGACTCACAGGAAGCTTTGTGCTACAGCCACACATCGCAGCACATCTGAAATATTTAAACTCTTATTTTTTCAGGAAGAAATACTTTATGGAATACTCCGGATGGCTTTCTCAAAAAATACATTTTGAAAAATGAGTAGCTATCTGTTTTTTTTTTACCCTTCTGCTATTCTAAATAAGGAACAGATGTACATTTTTACCGATGCCTAATTAATCACAATTACATTTTCCACATTCATATTGCTAGTGATAATTGATGTGTAATTATTTCTTCATTTGGGCTGTGTGTGTATTAATGATTTGACACTTAATGTTTTTATATATGAGAAGAAAATATGAAGAAACAATAATCCCAGTATGGATCATTCGTTTTAATTTAGCAGCCTCAGCCGATGTGTTGCACTCAGAGATACTCGAAGAGGAAGGACGCTTGCACACACACACTCAATGTGTTTATGTGATCTGAGCCTGGAGCGGCCATCAAACACAATCACAGGAGAGTTAATGTGTGTACACCCACCAGTTTAGCTTTAGTCAGGGCCTCTTTCAGGGCAACAACAAACAACGACAGGGGTGAAAGAGAGGAAGATGGAGAAAGAGACGCGGCAAGAGAGGAGGAATAAGGGTAGAGAGTGTGGGAGAGATAGAGGGGGGAGGGAGGAGGGAGGACTTGGCATCACCAGTGCCAACCACAGCTCCCGGGAGACGGGCGATGAATTACAGAAATGAGATCTCAGACAAATGCCAAGCTTTTCCAAAGAGCAACGAGAATGGCT